GGTAAACCCATTCCTCATCCTGCGTTTATAACAAAGACTATCTTATTTAGGATGGTGCATATTCCCCCTGAGGTAGACCTCAGAGGATCCCCCACTGACGCACTCAGGTAGGATTCTACGGGGCTCCTCCTTCCCCTGGTTTTCTTTCATTTTTTCCCGTCTGTTTCTTCTCTTTTTTACTTTTTCTGACGCAGCGCCCCAGAAAGAATCCATTAAAAACCTTCCTAAGCCTAAGGATCCTCTTATTATAAGTTCTCATAACATTCGTTAGAGAAGAAACAAAAAAGAAACATACAATGTTTCAGATGACTTTTTTTACTGCGTATTACACAAACACAGCTCAGTAGTGACAAAATTAAAAATGATACAGAAAAAACGAAAATACAACAAAAATACAGAAACATGGACAAATGAATGAATAAACGAATCCATAGATAACAGATAGACACAGCCGCCTTATAATTGAGAACATTAAGAAAAAGCGGTTACAAATGCATATTTTTCTGATGAGCAGTAGCATATATAATATAGGAAGTTGTAAAAAGACTATCTTCATAGTATATCACAAATAAATTTGCCCAATATACCAGCAAAATTCGGATTCCTCCTCTTCTCCTCTCCGATCGAATTCTCCTCTTGCATTTTTTCTCCTATGTTCTCTGCGTTTTTCGTAAAAGAGGAGAACTATTTACATAGGGTGTATATGATATTATAGGCCTATACCTACACAGCCTTTTATGTATGCATAGATAGATGCAATACCTTCGGACTGGAATCATCCTACACATAATTAAAATTGCCTTTTCACTGTACGTATCACCAACGAAGGTCTTATGTACTTATATATATATCCATCACATAACATCATGTCCTGCTGAAGAGACGCTGTTTCCTTACTTTCCACATCCTTAACACTATTCTAGAATCCTAAAAGTTGACTCATCTCTACACGGATCTCTATCATTTTTGTTTCTCCCATGTATTGAATATTATACTTCTTCATATTCTCTTAGAGGC